GGTTTCTTGCAGTAGTGTTTTGTAGTTTTCTTTGTATAGGTCTTTTACATCCCTGGTTAGATTTATTCCTAAGTATTTTATTTTTTTAGGGATATTACAAATGGTATTGTTTTTCTGATTTCCTTTTCATGGTTCTCTTTATTGGTGTATAGGAATCCCACTGATTTTTGTATGTTTATTTTGTATCCTACTACCCTGCTGAATCTTTCTATTAGTTCTAGTAGTTTTCTCGTGGAGTCTTTAGGGTTTTCTATGTATAGTATCATATCATCTGCAAACAGGGACAGTTTGACTTCTTCATTACCAATTTGGATGCCCTTTATTTCTTTTTCTTGCCTTATTGCTCTAGCTAGAACTTGTAGCACAGTGTTAAATAGGAGTGGTGATAAAGGGTATCCTTGTCCCTGTTCTCAGGGGGAATGTTTTCAGCCTCTCTCCATTAAGAATGATGTTGGCTGTTGGTTTTGCATAGATGCCCTTTATTATGGTGACAAATTTCCCTCCTATACCTACTTTATTGAGAGTTTTTGTCAGGAATGGGTGTTAGATTTTGTCAGATGCCTTTTCTGCGTCAATTGAGATGATCATGTGACTCTTTTCTTTCCTTTTATTTATGTGGTGGATTATGTTGATTGATTTTCTCATGTTGAACATCCTTGCATACCTGGTATGAATCCTACTTGGTCATGGTGTATTATGTTTTTGATATGATGCTGAATTCTATTGGCTAGAATTTTTGCATCTATAGTCATGAAAGATATATTGGTCTGTAATTTTCTTTTTTTGTGGTGTCTTTGCCTGGTTTTGATATCAGGGTTATGCTGGCTTCATAGAATGAGTTTGGAAGTTTTGCTTCCTTTTCTATATTCTGAAATAGTTTGAGTAGTACTGGTATAAGCTCTTCTCTGAACTAGGTTTTTCTATTACACATACTGCAGTGAACATCCTTAAGTATGTACATGTGTGAGTATGTCTGTAGTTCTATAAAAATAGTTTTTTGGGTTTTTTTTTTGCTAAATGTCATACATTTGTTTTACATGTTTAGATCTTTAATCTATATGGAATTTATGTTGGTGTAAGATGTGAATGGCAAGTTTCTTACCTTTTTGAAGCTTCAGCTTTCTCTCTCAAATAAGGATAATAGTAGCTACCTCACAAGATTATTACAGGGATTGCATAGAATCCTAACTGACCAGAACCACGTGTGGCACATAGTAGGCACATTTATTCCCTTGGTTTCTTTTAATTTGACCAGCAGATCCAAGTAATATCTAGGTTATGTTTATAGAATATGGTCAGTTTTAAAATATTCAATAACAATATAATCCTGATTTCCTTTGTTTTTATACATCTTATGTTTCACAGAAAGGCTATCCACAAAATTCTACCATCAAAATGACTGAAGTCAGTAGTGTTCTACCATATTTTAAATTAGTGACAAATGGAATTTTAAGTGTTGACTTTGCTTTCCCTTCAGTGTCAAGAATAAAGGAAAATAAAGCAAATATCACGAAAAGGTAAGGTGTGAACCATCTAAAGGAAAAATATACAGTGAAACCTGTAAGAGCTGGAACTCGGTGGGACTGCTTTGTCTTTCTAGGTCTTGCAAGTTTTCGCCTTTGACAGGGTGCAGTTTTACCACTTTTCTATTGCTCATTTTAGTGGAAAATATTTTAGTTTTCCTTTTCTGACAGGTTTCCACCTTACACAGGTTCCAGCTTTTGCAGGTTTTACTGTACTTGAAAGCCTTAAAAATGAGATTCTTTTAAACTGTCTTGGACTCTTACTAGCAGTAAAAATGATTATTCTGTCACATAACATGATGCATTTTTGTAATTACATTTTGGTACTTAGTTTTTATAAGATTTTTATCTTTATGTACACTTATGGCATTATTTATATATAAATTTTACATAATCTGGTTACAGAAAGGATTTGAGGCAACTGTCTACTGTGTTGATGCGTGTTATTTTTTCCATAACAAATTTACTAATTTCGGGCTTTAAACACGTTGCTTTTTTTTGGTAATAATTTATTTTTGTTATTGTTGTTGAGAATATACACAGCAGAACATACACCAATTCAACAGTTTCTACATGTACAGTTCAGTGACATTCATTACATTCTTCGAGTTGTGCAACCAAGTTGTTTCTCCCCAATTAACATAAACTCACTGCCCCGTAATTTCCTGTCTAATCTTTCGAGTTGCTGTTGTCAATTTGATCCCATATAAATGGTTCTCAAAAGAACTCAATGCTCAAGGCAGACGTTCTTTACTAGCAAAGTTAAGCTATTGTTTGGTTTTAAAAAGACTTCAGGGGATATTTTTGGTTTAAGATTTAAAGATTACCTCAGGGCAGTAGTTTCAGGGGTTCATCCAGCATCCAGGGCTCCAGAAATCTGGATTCCATAAGAATTTGAATAAAGGAAAATAAAACAAACGCCAAGAGTGCTAAATAGTCACTTTCAGCTGGGGATTGTGGAGGTACAAGATGTTTTGGGGGTACCTCATTTTTATTTAACTTTTTTTTCCTTCGTACTCTTTTTTGGTCTTATGTCTGAATGAAGATAATTTATTATGGATGTTACATGTAATTTTGGAGATTTTCTACCTCATGAAACCTGGAGGTAATAACTTGACTGTCTGCCTTTAATTCATCCTCACAAGGTGTGAATAATTTCCAGATAGGATGTTTACTTAAAAGACTCATGGCTAAATAGAATTTAAAACTAAAAGTTAAATATATTTCTTAAAGGTTTTTTTTGTTTGTTTAGTGCTATGAATACTAGTATATCAAACAATTTTTACAAAGATTAGAATTATGATATAATTTAATTTCTGTCACTGTGCTTTATATTTTTATTTACATTTTCATAACTATCTGTTGGGTCAAAAAGAATATAATGCTTTTCCTAAAGTTATCCAGCTAATATACTCTCTTAGTAGTTGTTTTTGTGCTAAGATTAATCTTTCACAATCATTTATTATTGTTAACATTTTATTCTTACAACTATTATTATAGATTTAAGTGTCAACTGACTGATAGAATTTCAAAATATAATGTATCTGAGGCAATTTTCCACTCTAAGTTAAGTAAAGGATGCTGATATTTATCTATATTTGAAAGTGAATATGCAGATATTGCAACTTATTCAAAAGATTGCCTTATTATTACTGATCTTAACACATTTTAGATATGCATGAACACACAAGTTCAGGGATGCTAGAAATAACATTAGAGTAGGCATTTTGGCTGTTCAGCCTTCCAAAGACTGAAACCTGAACCAAACAGTAAATTTTGGCTGAATATTAAAGCAAAGCCAAACTTTTGGTGCATCCCAACTTGAAGCTCACTTAAAGGAACAGCAAACCAGGGTCTGTAAATAAGGTGATTCAGGGAGTTTTCATACCGTGACACTGACATAAATAAAGTTGTTTTTTTCCCCTTCCCTGGAATTTCCCTAGGAAGAAAACTTTTGGTTGTTGCTAAATATTGCATTGTTTTTATAAAATGTTAAATTTATATCATGATTTATCACCATTATTTGTCCTCATGATTTAAATGATTATGTGAGTTCTTTAAGATCTGGAAACTTGTGCTGATCTGTATGGTTGCTTATCTTTTTTTAAAAAAATCATACAGGGAATGAGCAATGCTAGCCTATAGCTGCATGTGGACTGTATGGCCTAGTGGAGGGGAACGTCTCTTAATATAGTACTCTCCATTGTTTCAATCATTTCTTGAGAGGCTGGATTACTTAACAGCCTTAGAAAGCATGTTCAAATATAGTCCAAAGGGGCTTACTAGCTCAATATTATATGAGCCTGAAGCAACAGAAATATAACCAACATAACCCCTGACCCAGTTGGAAACTCCTTATGTGATGTAATTTATGTAGAACAATCATCTGAACAATACTTGCCGGTGCCTATAAGGCCAAAAGCTGATAGGCAGAGAAGTTACTTCCTGCTTTCAAAGACTTTGCATGTTAGTTGGGGAGACAAGACATGATATGTGAAAAAGTGACTGAAGATTCTGGGTAGTAAACTAAAGATGTCACACTAATGGTTTAGACTAAGGGCTGTAGGTGTTCACAGGAGGTAAGAATTACTTTCAGGTGGGTGGTTAAGGAAGGTTTCTCAGAGGAGATGGTATTTAAATTGGGTCGTCATTTCAACCAAGGAGGCTTGGTGGTGCAGTGGTTAAGTGTTTGGCTGCTACTGGAAAGGTCACTGGTTCAAACCCACCAGCCGCTCCATGGGGGAAAGATGTGGCACTCTGCTGCTGTAAAGATTACCAAAAACCAAACCCGTTGTCATCAAGTCGATTCTGACTCATAGCAACCGTATTGGACAGAGTTGAACTGCCCCTTGGGGTTCCCAAGGGTCTAATCTTTTCAGGAGCAGAGTGCCAGATCTTTCTCCTGATGAGCAACTAATGAGTTTGAACTGCTAGCCTTTCAGTTAGCAGCTGCGTGCTTAACTACTGTGCCATCAGGGCTCCTCTGTAAAGATTACAGCCTTGGAAACCCTATGGGGCAGTTCTACTCTGTCCTATGGGGTTGCTATGATTTGGAATTAACTTGATGACAGTGCATTTGGTTTTTTTTTTTTTTGGTCAATTCAACTGTCATTTTTTGAGTGCTTTGAATGGCCCAGACATTGTAACTACAAAGATTAATAAGTAAAAAGAAATAAGGCTGGAGAGGTAGGTAGATCCAGATTGGGAAGAGCTTCAGATGCCAAACTCAGAAATTCAGAGTATCCTGTAGGCCTGTCCAGTACAGTAGTCACTAGCCACTGTGTACCTACTGACCATTTGAAATGTGATTAGCGTGACTGAGGAACTGAATTTTTAATTTAAATTACATAGCACATGTGGTTAGTGGCTACTGTATTGAACGGCGCAGCCATAGGCAGTGAGTGGGTAACCTCTGATAATTTTTAAGCTGATAAATGTTATATTTAAAAAAGGGTATTTTAAGATTGGTTTTGTACAAGGTGAATTGGAGGAGGAAAGACAATTTAGAGTTAGGTAAACCAGTTAGGAGGAGACTGTTGCAGTCATCTAGGTTTAAGGTGATGGTAGTCTGATTCAGGATGGTGCTAGTGGGAGTGACAGGAAGAACTGGGTTCAAGAAACAATTCTAAGAATTAATAGGACTTGCAACTAATTGAGAAAACAGGAGGAGAAGTCAAATTGAGTCCCTAGTTTTTAGCCGGAGTGAATGTGAGAATGGTGGTATCATGAACGAAGGGAGTGACTATTTTTTATTTTGCCATTTTTTTATTGTGGTGAAAATACATACAACAAAACATTTGCCAAATCAGCAATTCCTACGTGTATAATTCAGTGATATTAATTACATTCTTCATGTTATGCAACCATTCTCTATCCTTGTCTAAATTATTCTACCACCATTAACATGACCTCAATGCCCCCTAAGCAAAAACTCCCTCTTTTCCCCTCCCTCCCACCCATCTTGTTGTTGTTGTTAGGTTCCATCGAGTCTGTTCCGACTCATAGTGATCCCCTGTAGAACAAAATGAAACACTACCCAGTCCTGACCATCCTCACAATCACTGCTATGTTTGAGCCCATTGTTGCAGCCACTGTGTCAATCCATAGATGAGTGAGCGCTTCCAGCATTACATCCGTTTGTTGAAACATCTCAGTTGGTATTCCATCAATTCCTGGAGCCTTGTTTTTCCCCAGTGCCTTCAGTACAACTTGGACTTCTTCCTTCATATTCTCTTGATCATATGCTACCTCCTGAAATGGTTGAACATTGACCGACTCTTTTTGGTACAGTGACTCTGTGTATTCCTTCCATCTTTTTTTGATGCTTCCTGTGTCGTTGAATATTTTGCCCATAGAATCCTTCAGTATTGCAACTGGAGGCTTGAATTTTTTTCTTCAGTTCTTTCAGCTTGAGAAATGCCGAGCATGTTCTTCCTTTTTAGTTTTCTATTTCCAGCTCTTTGTCCATGTCATTATAGTACTTTCCTTTGTCTTCTCAAGTCACCCTTTGAAATCTTCTGTTCAGTTCTTTTACTTCATCATTTCTTCCTTTTGTTTAGCTACTTGATGTTCAAGAGCAAGTTTCAGAGTCTCTTCTGGCATCTGTTTTGGTCTTTTCTGTCTTTTTAATGACCTCTTGCTTTCTTCATGTATGATGCCCTTCCACAACTCATCTGGTCTTCAGTCATTAGCGTTCAATGCATCATATCTATTCTTGAGGCAGTCTCTAAATTCAGGTGGGATATACTCAGGGTCGTACTGTCGCTTTCCTGGACTTGTTTTAAATTTTCTTCAGCTTCAACTTGAACTTCTATATGAGCAACTGATGTTCTGTTCCATAGTCAGACCCTGACCTTGTTCTGACTGATGATATTGAGCTTCTCCATCCTCTCCTTCCACAGATACAGTCGATTTGATTCCTGTGTATTCCATCTGGCATATAGTCACTGTTTATGTTGTTGAAAAAAGATACTTGCAATGATTAAGTCGTTGGTCTTAACAAAATTCTATCATGCGATCGCCAGTGTCATTTCTATCACCAAGGCCATATTTTCCAATTACCAATCCTTCTTTGTTTCCAGCTTTCGCATTCCAGTCACTGGTAATTATCAATGCATCTTAATCACGTTTGATCAATTTCGGATTGCAGAAGCTGGTAAAAATCTTCAATTTCTTCATCTTTGACTTTAATGGTTGCTGCTTAAATTTGAATAATGGTTGTATTAAGTGGTCTTTCTTGTAGGGATATGGATATTATCCTATCACTGACACCACTGTACATCGGGATAGATAGTAGACCATATGATTATCCATGATGATTACAAAATTCTGTATTTTTTTGTAGGTTTCTTTAACAGTATCAAAGGATACACACCACATTGTTAACGGTGGTTTTATCAAATACTTGAGATTTGGGGGCAGGGGTAGGGGCAGCAAAGAGAGGTTGGCACAAGATGGTGCTTTAGACAGCCTGGTTTGTTTGGATTTCATTGCAATGAGTATGTAGTGATTCAAATGCCTGAAAAAATATATTAAGTATGAAAAAATTGAAGATAATACTTGCCTAATCTACTTTAAATTATTATGAAGGATTGTTGCAAAGATCAAATGCAATAGGGAATGTGAAAATGTTCTGAAAATTATTAAGTGCTGTTTGAATATGAGGAAGTAGAAATAGTAATAGTGACTTTTACATGTCATTTCAGCCGGGAGGTAAAAGCCATTTTTAAGGGAGTTGCGAAAATAAGTAATAATAAAGTGTGGGCTGTGAATATCAGGTATTTATTGATTTGCAAGTGAAAAGAAGAATAGAAATTAGACGATAGAGGAGACTTTTCTCAACTTTTTGATTTGAACATTTTCTGACTTAAAAGTTGAAAGTACCATGAATACGATATTACTTCAATCTAGATTCATCAATTATTAATATTTTCTACATTTGTTTTATATTTCTACCTATGTATATAAAATTTATTTTTTTGCTAAACCACTTGAATGCAATTTGTAGGCATCATGATACTTTACCCCAAATACTTCAACACGCATTTTTTAACAATACATACATCATTCTCCTATATAACCACAATTCCGTGTTCACACTTAAGAAAATAATTCCACAGTATCTTTCATAACAATTACAAAAAAAAACATACCAGTTGCCCTCAAATCCATTCCAACTCATGGTGACCCCACGTGTGCAGAGTAGAACTGTAGTGCATAGAGTTTTCAAGGCTGTGACCTTTCAGACACATATCACCAGGCCTTTCTTCCCAGGTACCTCTGGTTGGGTTCAGACTCCTCCTCAGTTATTTCAAAAATGTCTTTTTTTGTAGAAAACTTTGATTTCCCAATTCAAGATTCAATCATAGTTTATACACTGTGTTTTGCTTGTATAGTTCAGTAGTCTCTGTTAAATCTTTAATAACATTTCTCCTGTCCTTCTGTCTTCCCCACAATATTGACCTATGAAAGGCTCAAGCCAGTTGTCTTGTAAAATGTCCGACATTCTGTATTTGTCTGATTATTTTCCCGTGATGTAATTTATTCTTAATTATTTCAGATAACCTTTATCAGAAAGGATGGAGCTGGGAAAAGGAAAACTTCTCAGAACTGGACTGAATGCGTTATATCAAGCAGTACACCCAGTTCATGGTCTTGCCTGGACTGATGGGACTCAAGTAGTCCTGACTGATTTACAGCTTCACAGTGGGGAGGCCAAGTTTGGGGACTCAAAGGTCATTGGGCAATTTGAACACATCTATGGGCTATCCTGGGCCCCACCTGGTACAGCTGACACGCCCACTCTGCTCGCTGTCCAGCACAAGAGGCATGTTGCTGTGTGGCAGCTGTGTCCCAGCACTACGGAGACGAGCAAATGGCTGATGTCTCAGACCTGTGAGATTAGAGAGTCACTCCCTGTCCTTCCCCAGGGCTGTGTGTGGCACCCAAAAAGTGCTGTCCTGACTGTGTTGACTGCACGGGATGTCTCTGTTTTACCTAATGTTCACTGTGACGATTCTCGGGTAAAAGTGGACATCAACACTCAGGGCCACATTCACTGTGCGTGTTGGACCCAGGATGGCCAGAGGCTGGTGGTGGCAGTAGGCAGCAGCCTGCATTCTTATATTTGGGACAGTGTGCACAAGACTCTTCACAGGTGCTCCTTCTGCCCAGTGTTTGATGCAAACAGCTACATCCGCGCCATCAGAGCCACTGTGGACTCACAGGTTGCTATAGCCACTGAACTTCCCCTAGATAAGATATGTGGCTTAAATGCATCTGAAACCTTTGATGTTCCGACTAGTGGTAAAGACAGTTATCTGTATCCTTTACCAGTTATTGATGAAGTGCTGTCTATGGATAAAGGGGCAAATGTTCTTGAAACAAATTCTGAAATACCAGTTTCTCCTTCCTTTTCTTCTTCCTCCTCAGATCTTCTGGATCTAACTCACATACATTTCAATAAATCTGGATCTGAGTGCAGTTCTCTTATTTGTCTAAGAAAAAAGGACTACTTGACAGGAACTGGTCAGGATTCTTCACATTTGGTCCTCGTGACCTTCGAGAAAGAGGTTAACAGGACCAGAAAAGTGACCATTCCAGGCATTCTAGTTCCTGATCTAATGGCGTTTAGTCCTAAAGCACAGGTAGTGGCAGTGGCTTCCAGTACGTGTAACATCATCCTGATCTATTCTGTCATCCCATCTTCTATGCCAAACATTCAGCAAATTCAGTTAGACAGTAGTGAGAGACCCAAAGGCATATATTTCTTGACAGATAAATTATTATTAATTTTGGTAGGAATACAAAAATCCACTGATTTGGCATTTCTTCCTTCTTCAGAGTCTGACCAGTATATCATTCGCTTGGTTGTTAGAGAAGTAAAGTTGGAAGGATCTTCAATGACCTCATGTGAAGGCCAGAGTGGCTACTCTACTTTCAGTTCTCTGTTAAATAAAGCAAACAGAAGAAAGCTAATTGAAAGTCTTTCCCCAGATTTTTGTCACCAAAACACGGGGCTCTTGTTAACAGCTAGTACCAGCAGTCACAGTGGAAGTCCTGGAATAACCCTTATTAACGAAATCCAAAGTCCTCTGTCCAGTATCTGTGAGGGCTCCACAGCCCTAGAAACTCTCCATGCAGAGCCTGTTAACTGGTCAGTCTCAAAGCCCAGGCCCGGCAGCACGCCAGAGTCCTCACCAGCGCAGTTTAACCATTCTCCAGAGCCTCCTAATTTGCCTCAAAGAAAGAATTTACAAGGGGAAAAGGAAGCTTATCTGATATGTAAGAAACTGGAAGTTCTATCCAGGAATCTGACTGAAATGCAGCAATGTCTTTCTGAACTCATGAACTGTCTACATAATGGGAAGAAATCCTCTCCAGGATACCCACTCTCTGAGGATCCCCCTTATGTTCACATCATTTACCAGGTAACATCTCCTTTGAGGAGCTACCATTGTACATAAAAGCTCATGCAGCCAGTGGGTACTGCAAGAAAAATTTACTGATGAGGGAGATGGTGCTCTAATTGAACTTCACTGAACTGGGCGTGTTATGTTACAGGCGAGTTGTTATACCTTTGCAGGTTGGTTGGATACTAGCCTGCCAACCAGATAGGCACACATATCAGTATCTACCATAATTTTATTATATGCATAGTATGAAAAGTGAATTATTGTGTTCATTCTGGCAATTTATATTTAGGAAAATATATATTTCTTTTAATTATTTAGTTGTGAAAACCTATTCTTTATGCAATGCAGACACTTTTCTATTTATAAAAAAGATTATGTTCATTTTTTCTTTATTTTTAATGCATCTATTTATGTATGCATATGTATAAATATAATATTACATAAAGAGATCATATACCTTTTTATTGTGAAGACTTTCCATCCCCATTGGACTTGGTCCTAACCCTACTCCCCATAACCCAGTTTGACCAGCAGTTTAATGTGGATCTTCCTGTATTTTTCTTCATACTCATATAATCTTACACAGACCTTTGTATACCTACGTATATAGGTGTGTGGGGGTGGTTTGTCATTGCCTTAAAAAATGAGATCATATGGCATCCTCTCCTTCATGCTGAGGCTATGCTGTTTATTCAGCCATTCCCTTGTTGATGAACACTCACTTTGTTTTTAGTTCTTGTCCATTCCAAATAGTGCTGCAATTATATCCTTGTATATGTCCATTTGTATTAGTACTTCTATTTCTGTTGGATTGCTTCCCAGAAGTGGAAGTGTAAATTTGAAAAACATATACGTTTCTACTTTTAATAGAGTTGTCAGATGGCCTTTCAAAGGGTTTTTACTTCACAATGCATCATCACACTTGCACCAGCAACGTTTGAGACTGTCCTTTTCCTCACATCCTCACCAGTCTGATGAGCATGAAGTGGTATTTCACTTTTATTAATTTGTATTTCCTTTACTGTTTGGATTTGAGCATGTTTTTTGTGTTTTTTGGCTGTTCGAAATTGGTCTTTTATAAATTGTCTATTGCTCATTTTCCTATTGGGTTATCAGTTTGTAAGAGTTTTTATATTATAGAAATGACTAGACATGTAATTATTTAGGTTTTCTTGCAATAATTTTTTAATTATTTTAGTTTTTACATTTAAGCTTTTAATCTTTAATTTGGTTTTTGTATATACCCACTTTTATTTTCTTAGAGTTAGATGGCCATGCTAACAACATTATTAAGAAATAATCCTTATCCCACTGAACTTGATCTATTGCATTTGTCATATATAAACTTACATATACTGGGATCTGATTCTGGATTCTGTATACAATAACACTGACATCTTTAGAACTTTACTAATACCATACTGATTTGATTAACAGACCAAACCAAACCAAACCTGTTGCTGTTGAGTCAATTCTGACTCATAGCAACCCTACAGGACAGAGTAGAACTGCCCCATAGGGTTTCCAAGGAGCAGCTGGTGGATTCGAATTGCCAACCTTTTGGTTAGCAGCCAAGTTCTTAACCACTGCATGAGCAGGGCTCCAATTTGATTACAGTGTCTTATATATATTCATTTTTAAAGGTATTTCTAGAAAGTAGGTATTGAAGTCAGTGATACAAGTAAGTATATAAATTAATTACCAGGAGGATATATTTCAATTAGTTTTCTCTTAAAGCTGACTCAAGGATATAGGTTTTTAGAAGAACTAAAAAAATAGTTTAAAACGCTAAATTAAATTTTCTTTTTATTATGAAGAATTTAAAACATATTACAAAATATGTTTTTGTATTATGAAAAATTTCAAACATATAGAAAGACTATAATGAAACCCTGTATATGTATCTATCACATGGATTTAACAGTTGTTATATTTTGCCATAATTTCGTTGGTTTTTGTTTTCTGAAATATTTTAAATAGAGAAATCATGGTATTTCACCCCTGCATACTTCAGAATGCTTTTCTAAAATGTAAGAACATTTTCCTTAATAACCACAATACTATTATCACACCTGACAACAGGATTAATAATAACTTAAAGTCATCTAATACCAAAAAAAAAAAACCAAGCCCCTTACATAATCCTTATTCATATTCTCCAAGTTAGTCCCAAAATGTTAAATCACTGATTCTTTTTAAAATAGTTTTTAAAAATTAATTTCATAACTATATTAGGAACTTAGTTATCATTTATCAGAGCTATTTGAAAAACTACTTATACACATTTACCATCTTAATCCTAGATTTTTAGAGAGAGTTTCTGCTACATTGATTTTGGAGACCACCAGTCAGTGACCAAGACAGATATTTAAGTGGTTTGATTTAACTACATGAAGCTTTTGGTATTTTTCCTTTAGTAATAGGTTTTTTTATTTTTTTAATTATATTATTTGTAAATGTAAAATCTAGTTTGGATATTTTTTCCTTCAGTAACTTTTTTTCCCCCTTTTATTTCTCTTGTTGAATAGGTAACTCACCTACTTGGTTCAAAACTAGAAAGAGTATATTAATAAAAAGGCTTACACTAAGAAGTCTTACTCCCACCCCAGCCCTGTTCACTCTCCTCCCCTTTGGCTCCTACAGGTCACCATTTTTATTTTGATTTCTTCATGCAGATACAGCACACCGTACTGTGTATTTTCGTTTTGGCACACAAAAGTTAGGATACTATAGCATCCCAAAGAGTGTTCTGCACCTCTCCTTTTCCATTTGATAATAAATATATCCTGGAGGGCTCTCCATATCAAAATGCAGAGCACTTTCTCTCTCTTTTTTTTTTTTTTTTACAGTTGCATAATATTCTTCCCCCCCATTACAAAAAGAATATATACTCATTGAGGAAAAATTGAACCAATACAGGAAAGTTAAGTGTTGAAAGTAAAAATTCTGTATAACCCAATCATTAGAGAAAACTATAGCATATAGTTAGGTCTAAATGTTTGCAATTTTGTTTCCCCTGGGGTGTTTTATTTATTTATTTTTCAGTGGCTTTATTGAAATATAACTCACCCATTTAAAATATACAATTCAGTGGGGTTTAGTATACTCCCAGGTACATGCAACCATCACCACAGCCAATTTTAGAACATTTTCATCACCTCAAAAAGAAACCTTGTATCCTCTAGTTTTTGCTCCCCTATACTGTCATCCCCACATTCCTAGACAATCACTAATTTACTTTCTGACTCTACTGACTTCCTTATTCTGGGCCATTCATATTTATGGAATCATAATAGGCAGTCTTTTTTGTCTGGCTTATTTCACTTAGCATAATATTTTCAACGTTCGTGTTGTAGCATGTATCAGTACTTCATTCCTTTTAATGGCTCAGTACTATTCCATTTTATGTATCTGCCTCATTTTGTTTCCCATTTGGCAGCTGATAAACATTTGGGTTGTTTCTACCTTTTGGCTATTATGAATAATAATGCTGCTGTAAATCCATATTTTTTCCTATGCTTTTATTAAATTTTTTGTTAATCCAAAAGGTAAAATATATCATCTAATTGTTTAATTTTATTTGTTTTTAAATAGATTATTTTATCAAGTAATATAAACCATTTGTAAATGTAAAATTCATTTTTTTTTATTATTGTACTTCAGGTGAAGGCTTACAGAACAAATAGTTTCTCATGAAACAGTAGTACACATATTGTTTTATGACACTGGTTAACAACCCACAACATACCAATCCCCTCCCTTCTCGACCTTTCTTTTTTGGTGAAAATATACATAGCCAAAGATACACCATTTCAAAAATTTCTACATGCACAGTTCAGTGACATCAACTACGCTCTTCCAATTGTGCT